CGGCATCCCGCTCGCAGCCCGCGGCGGCGCGCCCCCCGCACCCGCGCCCCCCGCACCCGCGCTCGGCCCCGCGGAGGACGGCCATGCCGCCGCGGCGCAGCATCGTGGAGGTGAAGGTGCTGGACGTGCAGAAGCGGCGGGTGCCCAACAAGCATTATGTGAGTGCCGCGCGGTCCCCACGCCCCCTCGAGCCCGTGCCCCGCCGGGGGCGACCGAGAGCCTCCCGGCTCTGAAAACTTCCGAACCGTCTGCTCTCTCCCCACCCTCTCCTTCTTTCCCCTCCTCGGCCCTGCTGCTTCGAGCCCGGGTCTCTCCAGCTCCTCCCCCTCCCCCTCCTCTCTTTTGCCCGGTTCTCCTCCCCTCCTTCCCGTTCTCCCGCCTCGCCCCTCCGCCGCTCGTCTCCCCCTTAACTGTCTTCTCCTCGGCCCCCCGCTCCGTCCTGCCCATCTGTGGAAAAGTCTGGCCCAGGCAGTGTAGGGGACAGAGAGACAGAAAGAGGGGGAGGGGGAAAGAGAGAGACACAGATAGAAGCTCCTGTTCTCGGGCCGCCCGCCCTGTTCCTCCTTGTCCAGAGGCCCTCAGACCCGCAGTGTCTTAGCCACAGGTAGCCCCTCTAGGGATCGCCAAGTTTGGCTCCGTCCTTTTGGAGCATCCAGCCAGCCTGCCTGAGCGATCTCCGAGAATGGATCCTTTGAGTGCCTGCACCGTGAAAAGGTTTAAAAAAAAAAAAAGTCTTCTTCCCTTTTTCTCCAGTAACTTCTGTTAAAAAAATGTGCGAAAGTTTTCTCCTGGTACCTCCCTCTGTAAAATGAGAATCTTGTTTAGAGCTAGTGAGGACTTGAGAAAATGGGCCAGTAACCTCATTGTGCAGATGGGAAGGCTGAGGCTCCGAGAAGCTGCAGCTTCTAGAACATGGAGCTGCATTCAGGCCTTCCCTGCCTCTGGAAGGTGTGCCAGGGCAGGCGGTGACCCCCACATGGGAAACGGATTCTGCAGCAATCTAGGAGCTGAATCTGGGTTCAGGGCCCATGGGATCACCTCAGAGGTTTTGGGTGGAGGTATAATGGGTCTGTGGGATGTTGGGCCCAGGTGAGGCCTTGGGGAGGCCTCCCTTACTGGAGGGAAGGGGGCTCTGGTGTCTCTGGTGGTGAGAAGGGGGCAGTGGCAGCGCTTAGCTGCAGAGAAGTTAACCAGGAAGGAAAAAAGCAAGAGGGAGGGAAAAAATCCTAACAAAGAAGTGTAGAACAATGAATAGCAAAGGGCGTTGGCTGGCTAAATTCAGCTCCTTGGCCTCCCTGCAAGTCTTCTCTGGATCTATTTTCTTAAGAGGCTCATTCTTACAGAGCAGATCTATATGCCCTCCGTGAATAGCTTATAAAATCCTGAAAGGAGATAGCCGGAATCCACTCTGCACTCTCCACGAGAAAGGGTGTGCTGTGTGAGTCCGTATTGTTATTGGCTGGGCAGCCAGTTATTCAGCCCTTAGCCAGGCTGTGGGAAGCAATTTCCTGGACCTGTGGCATCCTTAAATAGAGTGAAGTCTCCCTTGATTCCAGAGCTGAGCTAAATTGTCTTTTTTTCCTTCTTCTTCTTTTTTTTTTCTTTTTTCTTTTTTTTTTTTTTTTTGTCAACTGTTTCAAATACTGCCAAATCGTGGTTTCTTGTTTGAGCTTGTTGAGTGTGTCACTGAGTTGCCTTTTTGGTATGAAGACAGTTTTCACCAACATGGCAACGAGAGGAAGTCTAAAATTCTCCATGCTGCCTCCCACCCAATCTGTGAGCTGGCAAAACCAGAATAGATACAGTCACCACGAAGTGGGCATCACCATCCACTAACTCTCTCCTGTCCGCTCCCGGTGCACACCACATGAGGCAGAGGTTCTTGAGCCCATTCGACAGATGAGGAAACTAAGGCTCAGAAAGGTGAGGTCTTCTGCCTGAGGTCACAGTCACAGGCAGAGCAAGGATGTCAATCCACGTCTGTTGGACATCGAAAGGTGGCGTTTCACCTGACCACTACAGCACTTTCTAGATCCCATACCTTCATAGTTTCCTGAAGCAAAGTCCCCTTAAGAACCAAGAAGTCTGCCATCATTTGTGATCATCCTGCGGCTTTTCATTCCCTGCTTAGTCGGATCCATATCCGCCAGCTGTTTGAAGGTTCGGCCGCTTTAGGGGGCATCTTGCTTGTTTTTCCATCCTTTTTTCGGGGTCCTTTGAGACAAGTTACAATATGGATTTGGGTTCACATTGTGGCCTCAACTTGATAGCTGTGCGGCTTCTGAGCCTCAGTTTTCTCATCTGTACCTGGGGGGTGATGGTGCCCACTTCCTCGGGGGAGGGACCACGTGACACCAGGGCTGGCTTGCCATCACTGTTAGAAGCCTGCCTCCCTGCTCCGTGGTGTCCATGTCACCCTGATTGGGAGTGTGCCGAGGTCACATGTGGAGGGATTTCACCAAAAACTTGTTTTTCTGCATGTGGGTTTAGTCACTCTTGTGACTCAAGGGGGCCCCCTCCCTTGGATCCAGCCTTTTGGGTTCGTCAGATGACATGGGGCGATGGGTTGAACTGAAGCCTGAGTTATCTACAGGAACAGGGCAGATTTAATGCCATGATGGCAGGGGACCTGAACCCACCAGAAACTGCCAGTGCCTCCCCCTCTCCTGTTCTCAAAACACATCCACCCCACCACTCTGGAAGAGTGTGGAGGCACCTATTGGCATAGGCCTAGACTCTCATCCCATTTGGTACCCTCCTCTCAGAACCTGGCCCAGCCATCCTGGAGGGAAAGCATGAGAAGGGAAGTTGGACAGTCCTGAGCTCTGCTGTGTGACCTTAGGCTGCTCAGTTTCTCTCTCTGAGCTCCAGCTTCTGTAATCTGCAAGCTGTAAATACTGCTGCTTCCCCCTAGGACCGAATTTCTCACCTCAACCCTGTTGCCACGTTGAGCCAGATCATTCTTGTTGCCAAGGGCTGTCCTGAGCACTGTAGAATGTTTAGAATCCTCTCTGGCTTCTTCTATCCACTAGGTGCCAGTGGCATCCCCCTCCTAAATTGTGACAACCAAAAATGTCCCAGGACATGTCTCCCATGGTTCCCCCCAACCCCCTGCCCCAACCATTGTGTTAGAATATACGCATCAGTTATGGAGAGTTCCGTTAGCCATGCCCCGTAATTTTCCACCCCCCTCCTCCCCATTTGCAGCTACCTTGCCTACCACCTGTTCATCCCTCAGTTGCTTTGGAAGGAACAGGTCACAGGGACTGTAGAGGTCATCGAGAAACTGCATCTGAGCTCAGGGCTGGGCCCCCTGTCCCACCTGAAAGGGCAGATCTCCATGATCAGGGTGACATCCTGTCTCTGCCCAGCCCCAGCCTCCTTCGCTTGTGGGCACAGACATCATCAGTGGGCCCAAGGGCAGAGCCACAGGTCAGGAGGTCTGGAGAATGCAGGGGCAGAAGCTCCCGGGGCCTCTGAGAGCCTAACAGTTGGAGAGGGGGTTTTGTTGGTGATAATATTGATAATAAGGATAGGATTATTTGGAGAGTCTCTCCCGGAGCCACCACCCTCTGTCAGAGGCAGGGAGAGATAAAGGCTTAGAGAGCTGCTCCATTTTTGTGCTGCCACCTTTCCTGCCCCGGAACCCAGGGCTTTCTGAATGAATGGAAAGGGGGCTTTCAAGCGCGATACCCTGGGAAGACCCTTCCCGGCTAGGTTGTCTTCTTTCTGACTTGAGGGGAGGAGGAAGTGCTCCCTGTACGTTTTGCAGGTTTTATTTGGATCACCCCATTTCCTGCACTGGAGCGGGATGTGTAGAAGCCTTGGGTTCAGAAGACAGTGCTGTCTGCAGGAACTAGGAGATGCTGGCTTGCCTAATCGAGATCTTGAGATGTTAAGAGGAGCAAGACGGTAGTAGTCGTTACAACAGCAGTAATCACGACAGCTGAAATATGATCAGTCGTGGTGGGTCAGGCACTGGATTAAGCTCTCTATATAATTAGTCATCATAACAGTCCTTTGAAATAGGTACTCTTGGGGGCGCCAGGATGTCTCCGTTGGTGGAGCATCCGACTCTTGATCTCAGGGTCATGAGTTCAAGCCCCACATTGGGCATGGAGCATATTTAAAAACTAATAATAATACAATAGGTACTTTTTCATTATATTAATCTACTGTTTCAAATATACGAATACAGAAAGTATCTATCCACCATCCAGCTCTGTCAGAACTTCATATCTTGCCATATTTCAGATCATTAATTTTGTTTGTTGAGAAATAAAACATGGCAGATGCAAAGCCCCTTGTGTACCCTCCCCAGCTCACGCCAACCCCCTCCCCCACCCAAGTGAACCAGTGTCCTGCATTTGGTGTTTGATGTTTGTCATTCCCATTTGCTTAAAAAAAAAAAAAAAAATAGAACATTCGGTCTATTAGATAGGATTTTCTTTCTCTAGCAGCTTTATTGAGGTATAATTTACATGCCATACAATTCACTCATTTTAAGCGTATGTTTGCTGATTATTTTCGTAAATTTACAGGGCTGTGAGACCACCACTACAATCCAGTTTTTTAACATTTGCATCAACCCCAAAAAGATCCCTTGGACTGGTCTGCAGTCAGTCCCCTTCCCACCCTAGCCCTTATGCCCCTTTTAACGTTTTTTACCTTTTTAACTGCCCCAAATCTTGCATTGAGTGTTTTAAAACTACATAAAAACATTGCCCTTTCAAGATCTATGCTGACGCACGTGGCCCCAGTTTCATTTTAACTGCTATTTAATATTCCACTTGAGGGGCGTCTGGTGGCTCAGCCGGTTAAGCGTCCGACTTTGGCTCAGGTCATGATCTCGTGGTTTGTGGGTTCGAGCCCCGCGTCGGGCTCTGTGCTGACAGCTGAGAGCCTGGAGCCCGCTTCTGATTCTGCCGCTCCCCCTCTCACGCTCTGTCTCTCTCTGCCTCTCAAAAATAAATAAATGTACTAAAAAAAATTTTTTTAATATTCCATTTGAATATACCACTATTTATTCTAGCTCCTGGCGGGGTCTTTTAGGGTGTCCCCAGAAGTTCAGATCTGTGTGGCTGCTTCCTGCACGTGGTGGAGTTGCTGGGTCAGGGGGTTTGTGCACTTTCAGCCTTTACATTTAGATGCCCCCAGA